AGATGTACTCAGTGAATCACCGGTGCCTCTAAAGGTCATAGATGCTCATAAAGGTGCACCTTGACAAGGTGTAAGTATGATAAACTGGAACACTATCATCTCAGACATTAGCCAATAAAATTATATTAGCAATTAATAGAATGCAACAGGATGACACAGTCCTGCTCCCATCATGATTCAAAAGCCAGCAATGACGTGGCACAAAGTAAATGTATCCTCTCATATAAGAAAGACAAATTACACTTTGGTGATGGTGAAGGATACAAAAGGGTTTTAAATAAGAATGATCTTTTTTATCCTTGATACATTTTTAAACTAAAGTAATGCTAAAAAAAATAGTATGTATCCAGCAACAGATAGAGTAGCATAAAGTAGCATCACCTATCAAGGCCTGCTGTAGTTATATATTTAAAAAGGTTCCCAAATATAATTGTAACCTAAAAAGCAAAATATGTCAACAATCTAAAAAAAAAAAAAAAAAAAAATAATATATGGAAATGGATATAACGAGTAGATGAGTCTCACAGAAAAAGCTCACTCATACTGAGATTTAAACATAGAGATCACAGTGGGTATAGAGGTCTAAAAATTTAAAGGATAAAAAAAAGTCATACCTTTTGCCCAGTGCCATTTCTTTTCAGTTTTCATTTTATACATTTGGACTGGTCCAAACTATATAAATATTTCCTTATGGTGATGATGCCAACATTGCCATGAAATGATTCTGCACTGGTAGGAGGCACAGATTAAAATCATGTAAAACAGAGCTCAGGCAATGCCAGATCCTGGTAGCTCCATAATAACTATGAGAATGACTTCTCTGCATTAAATTTTTCAGATTAAATCTTCTGAATATTGGTACCGACTTAAGTTAGCAAAGGGGTACCCACACCAAGATTGTCACTTTCCGTCTGGTTCTCTTTTTTTCAATGTAGAAAAAGATTAAAAAAGGAACTGCATTTGGTTCAAATAGTTTAAAGACGCTGACAGCTCCATAAGATTTTTCAAAATCAAAAAGTAAAGCAAAACATCTCATCTTTCAAGAAACATTAACTTAATTTTTACAAAATAAATATCTTGGCTGCATGAGGTCACATATGCTTGCCTCAACATCCCCCCTCAGCAAGGAAGGCTCATTTATTCACAGTTTTAATTAAACAACTCTGGGTCAACAATAAAAAAAAGGATGAATAAATATGTTAATTGATATCAGGAAAGATTTTTGCCCCTGCTGCTATGACACTTACACTACCCAGTCTGGAGAATGCAGCATGAAAAACATGTAAATGATGAGCAGAAGCAGATTTAAGAGCTGGAGTTTAATTCTGATCAGAAAGACATGATCATGCAAAACCAGCAAGAAAGTAAAACTGTCCTCATTTTATGTTGGCATCTTTGTCAAAGTGCTGCAGCTGGAATGACTGAATTATATGGGCCAGGAAAAATGACATGAAAAATGAGGTGGAGGATGAAACCATGAGTGGTTGCTACAAGCCGTTTGTTGAGCTTGGCTACCTCATCCTCTGGAATGCTCAGAGTGTTGAGCGGTGAGTCAACATTAGGCCACTTCCTCCTCTTAATGGAGCCACGCGACACATCTGTGATGCTCTGAATCTAAGCCCATGGTCCATTAAAAACATAATGTTATTAAAATACGAAGTTCAAAAACAGAGATATCTTAGTAACAGAGCTCCATAATATAACCAAATTGGTTAAACATACAACCCTTTTTCCTCTTTTCTTGGTTTCACTGGTGAGCCTAACATTTCTTTCAGTCAAAAGTAAAAAGAAAAAAAAGGACTCCACTCAAGTGCAGTCTATATTTATTTTGCCATGTTGAGGCATTATTCAAAGGTAACTGGATGCTTGCTGCACTTGGATTAGTCTGATTTATCCGTTTTACTTTTTAGCAGCTTGTCTAATAACTTGTGCAATCTCCATTGTAATTGATGGTCTGCTCACAGCTAAAATTGGCTACATTCACACAGCAGACTGAAGTGAACCAAATTAAATTTTTTTATCCATATGCATCCTGTTTCTGATCTTTTTATGACAGTCTGAACAACAAAGATCTGATTTTTTTCCAATGCAACCCAGGCCACTTGGCTATATGGTCCTTTTCAAAAAATGGTCGCATTTATCCGACCTGAACCTCAATAATACTCAACAAAGGTCACTATTCTGTGTCTTGCTACACAAAAGTGGAAAGAAAAAACAACCATGGCGAACAATAACTCCTGAAAGCAGTCTTTTTTTTTTACCATCTTGAAAATGTTGAGTTTTTAAGGTTGGGAAAGATCGCTAGATGAGCTCCATCACTACCATCCATATTTACTTTGGCAAACACAGAGCACGCTGGCTGGTAACATCATTTCGTTCTCTAGTGCGCATGCAGAACACTTAAGCTGTACAAGTGCAGTTCATAAAGGAGATCATATACAAGTCGCATATATTTGGAAATGTGATCGGCAATGCAAAAAGATTATTTTCCCTCAAAAATCGGAATTGAGCATTGAGGCCTGCAGTGTGAACGAAGCCATAATCTCAAAGTTTTTGACTGTAAAAAGGCCAATGATTTTTCATCTGGCAGGCCAGATTGCTAATGCATAGCATTCAAGTTTAGCAATTAATCTGGGACTGCTCCAATTGAATCTATTCATGGGAAGGAGGGACATTCAGTAGAAACTTCTGAGTTAATTGGGCAAAACAGCACCAAGTCCCAGTCTATCAATTTTTATTCTAGCTAATCACGGTAACAAATGAATACGCAGTAGACACAACAACAATTTACAATTTATACTCTTGCTGTTTCTCTATAAAAGATAAATTTTAAAAGAGAAAATGTTCATTTTGATCTGGCTGTGGGCTTAGCAGCTCTTGCTTTTATGACAGCTATGTGTCCTGCCTTAAATGACAACACCACAATCTGATTGGTTGATCCATTTTGGGTCAGACAAACGTTTGCACGGGAGCTGGACAAGATGAGTTTCCTTGTTTGTGAACAAAAGAATACAGTAATAACTGGGCTTGCAGGCAAGATGACATCACTTTGCCAAAAGATTAACTTAGACATAATTTCCTTGAAACCTTCATGATAACATCCATAAACCTACACTCTGAAATGCAGATATCATATTCGGAGACATTGATAAATCTGCAAAATTTTCTCTTAAAATCTACAGGGTGAATATTTGGTAAGTATATTTATTTTTTGGTCTCCTTATAAACAGTAAAAACTGCCCAAATACCACAGATGTCCTCTTTAGGGATGTGCTGCATTGTTAAATTAAAGCCACTGTCTTAAAGGAATAGTACACCCAAAACATGATTAGCCTTCATTTTCTACTCACCCCCATGCTGAACAAAACTCTGGAGTACTTTTTTGATATCTCAAATGCATCTGGAGATCTGGGAGGCTTCTTGCTGTCTGCTGACATTCAAATAATGGAGGTCTATGGCGCCCGAGACAGAAAGGTCCACAAAAGTCCACAAAAACGTGTCAATATTCCTCCATACTGCTCGTCCAATGTAATCCAAGTGTCCTGAGTGGGTAGCATCCAGAATTTACTCGAAACGAAGTCATTTAGAACGTTTTAGAGCCTAAACAGTAGTGTATAGGATTTCCTAATAGCGCCCCCATGCACGCTCACGATTCTACGGAAGCCGGCAGACCAAACCGGAAGGAAGTGCGCATTCAGCGTCTGCTCTGCCGATAATGCAAGCGTAGAAGAAGAAATGTGCTGTTTACCTGTGCAAAGAAAGAAACAACGAAAGAAAAATGTCTGAGGACTTCAGTGTTGAGGAAGAGCATGAGTTCTTTGCCGAGCTGAATGCGCTGGTTTGGTCTGCCGGCTTCCGTAGCGTCGTGAGCGCGCATGGGGGCGCTATTAGGAAATCCTATACACTACTGTTTATGCTCTAAAAACATTCTAAATGACTTCGTTTCGAGTAAATTATGGACGCTACCCACTCAGGACACTTGGAATACATTGGACGAGCAGTATGGAGGAATATTGACACGTTTTTATGGACTTTTATGGACCTTTCTGTCTCGGGCGCCATAGACCTCCATTATTTGAATGTCAGCAGACAGCAAGAAGCCTCCCAGATCTCCAGATGCATTTGAGATATCAAAAAAGTACTCCAGAGTTTTGTTCAGCATGGGGGTGAGTAGAAAATGAAGGCTAATCATGTTTTGGGTGTACTATTCCTTTAAAAACAACCTTTATAAAGCGATGGGTTGTTGTTCTTTTTTATTACCGTACTATCTTTTTATTAAACTGTTTCACTTAGAGGCAACGTCTCATTGTTTCACAGACCTGTTATAGATATAAAAGACAGAATGGAAGAGTATGTATACAATCTTTGTAGAATGAAGTTTTATTTTCTGTATATTTTCAATAATTCTTTCTAAAATATTAATAATTTATAATTTATAAAATAATGATCTGATATTTGGATCGGATATTGAATAATTAGCTGGATAGCTTATTAGTAATCATAGATCCAATCCAGTGAACTTTACAAGGAAATGTTATTTCTTTATTTTTGCTACTTAGTTGTTAATAAATACTATAAAGTACATTTATATCTGTGTTAATTTGTAACCTTTTTTCTAACAATATTTATGTCGTCCCTCCCCTCACATGGCGACATATGTTTCATCCAATCAACAGATTAATCGGACCATTATCTGATATCAGCTGCTACGATCAGCCCATATATTGTAATGGATTGAATAAGAAAAAAGAAAAGGAGCGCTGCACCTCTAATAATAACATTACCAATTTGTACATATAGTTATGACACTGCATGTTATTACTGCTATACTGTTTCTTGACTTCAAAAATTTTAAAGTGCTAAAGCTATTTTAGGCAAACTACTGCAACCAGCGCATAAGGTTGGTCTGGAGCACTGAAACACTACAGAGCATAAAAGATGCCTTAAATTTACAGTGTATTGTTACTTTAAAACAGGTTTTACTTCATGAGTGATTATACCTCTCTTTCTCTCTCAGTACGGGACAGTTGCATCTCCTTTAGCATTTGGGATCTCTGCTCCATCTTCAGTGTCTTCTCATATGTGAAGGCTGAGATGTCACTGTCATGCTATAGAAGCACAATACAGGAGATATTCAGATTTCAGATATAAAACCATAAAGCAGTATTTTTATTTTTTGCAATGGTTAGTCAAGCTATTGCCATTTTAAAGACAATGAGGGAAATCTGTGTTGTCTCACCATCTCTACCACCTCCACCTCTGCATCTAGTCTTAGATGATATAGAAACACCTGCAGATCCTTTTTCATCTGGATAGAGTTATCATTCAGCTGGGCCACTGTGAAGATCCGCATTTTGCACTTCCTCCACACCTACAAATACTTGCATAAGTAACAGCTGATGGAAGATATACATTGCAATATGCTATTCCTTCCACCAAATAATCCAACGTTACACTGCAGACATAAAAGCTGTGGTGAGCATGCACCTTGTGTTGCATGAGTAAAAATGGCAGCAGCATGAGGAGACCACCATCATGGACAATCCACCACACGTCAATAGCTCCCTCCTTCAGTCGTTCCTGGTTGTCTGGGAAATGATCGATGTTCTTCGCGACCAGGAGAGCCTGATTGGCTTCTGTCGTCTCCCTCACCGTCTCTGGATGGAGACAGATAAAAATGGAGAAATGCAAGAGAATTTAAAAGTTTTTACTGATTCAGAGAAAAATATGATATCAGATCTATTTGATAGAAACATTTAATTCATGTCTTCTCAGAATGGTTATCTTAGAGGAAAGTTCTACAGCGAAGTGGTAGAAAACTTCACATTTAAGATTTAACATGGATGTTGTTCATAATTGTGTTAGGTTTATTCTTTATTAACCATGTATTGTTAATCTGTTAGCCAGATTAGATGGAGTAGAAGGTCTTCCTTCAAATGGTGAATTACATTGTGTGAACAGAGGCCACTATGTTACTTTTTTACTCCTGTTTTTATGGCCCTTTTTATATGGTTTTACCCAGTTTGAGTCAAGAATAATTATACTAGGTAACTTGTTCCCAGGAAAAGAACCGGAATGGAAGTTCAAAGGCATAACCGCCTTCAGGAGGACCTAACTTCCTTATTTAACAACTGGTATGTTTATACCAGTCTAATGGAGGTTTTATACTGTGAAATGCAATATTTAACCATAATATCTCAAATTTCCTTACACTTTCAAAATAGGTCTTGGGTGATCCAAGTACAAGTAAATGTTTATTTCGCTCAGTTTATAAATGGCAGTATTGCATAGTTTACCTATAAAGTTTCTTCTAGGAAGGGAGTCCGTGGGATGCTTCCAGCCTGCGGGCCAGGCCATCAGCACAGCGTTGTGTTTCATTCCTCCCAGACCTGCAGACTGGATCATTATGGAGAAACCGTCTCGCAGGCTGGACGACACAACAACATGGGCGAAGCCCTTGGTTCGCTCTGCTGTCATAGTCGCTTTCATGTTCTGGATTAGTAAAAAAAAGCCTAGTTAAAGATGGAGGAAAAACCTACTTAAGAAATAACACGTTTACAGTAGTTTAAATTTTTTTATCTAATTCATACTAACTGTGTTAAATGGTGATACACATTTCAAGGCAATAAAGTTTATCAATGTCAGTTTATATTTTCATAAATAGGGAGGATTATATGCTACGACACTCTTAATAAGGTAGAGAGGTGAAACAGGTGTTGAAATTGGTGCAGAATTTGCATTCTGAACGAATGGTTGTAAATCCTAACTGTAATGTTAGTGCAGAACATCAGATATTATACACCAAATTCTTTAGTAAAACATTTTTTAATAATGACGGATAGTTGGTGAGCAGTGATATTAATAAGAAGATGCATCAATCAGTAATAATGAAAGAATTTCTTCTTATTTGCTATGAAAGGAGGGTAGCCATTTTTTTATGGTTTAGGAGGGGTCGAACAGTGGGAAGTACTCACCCTCTCCCTCTAATTCTGTTTTATTAAATCAACTAAATATATAGATAATATAAAAAAAAGTATTACTCCCTCTAATACTTTTATTTGAACATATCTATTGTTGGAAATTACCAACAACAGTATCTTAAAAGGTTAGCCACAGTAATGGTGGTTAAATAAATGAAGCACTTTGAAGTGTTGAAGTGTGAAGTAAATTATACACAGCTAGACTATGAGTGTGGTAAAACCTAAAAATAAAGCACTTGATTTGATTTAAGGGTACGAGATTGACATTTTAGGTTTTTATTTTTCATCAAATGCTAAAAGCTATGTGTAGTTTTTCCTCCCTTTTAAGCACTACTCCCCATAAAATGAAAAAAAAAATATTTAGAATGTTTAAATGGCTTAAAAACAAGGTTATTACTTAAAGAAGGGGTTTAAATAGATATAAAGAAAGAAAAACCCTCCCAGTCCCATATGTCATCAGTTAGTTGGTGTCACTGTATACAGGAATTTGTAACCACAGGAGAGATGAGCATAACAGTCTGACCAAAAGTAGAACAGAGGAGCCAAACCTGCTCTCCATGATTGGCATCTTCTTTACGTGTCATGTACGTCCCTTCCAGGACGGAACAAACTATAGTTAGTCCTTTGCCCGCTTTGAGCTGTGAGGTAAAGGACAGGAGACGAGGGTGCTTCACTTGAAGCTCAGAGTTCAGTTTGCACAACACCAACAGCTGTGGTCTGCAAAAAATTACAAACAGCAGATAATTTCAGTCAAAAAAAAGAAACAAATATATACATTTAATTTAAATAGCTTATTTATATTTGATTGAGTTCCTCTTCATAATTACATAATGTATTTGCAAAAAAAATATTAGCAAAATAAAGAACACACTTAGGGAGTTTCAGCTAAATTTAAACATCACAGCAGTTGTGGTTAATTCAGACACTATGAGTGTGGGAGCAAGAAGAAATGGGGATTTTTTTTTTTACTGCATTATATGTTTATATCAGAGGTGGATAATCCAGGTCCAGAATGTAAAAACTCTCTCAAGTTTTCCTTCATGCTGTTCACTTGACCTTGTAATTAGCACCCAAGTTTGTGCAAGTCTCTGTATGGATATTTTAACTTACTGGAACTGGATTATCCACCTCTGTATGTTTATATAAACCTTAAAATGTCATGAGCAAGCCAAAATGTGTTTTATGCAGTGGATGTTAACTAATATCAGCCCCAAATAAAAACTTGGAAAAAAAATTAAAGAAAATGATAAAAAAAAAACAAAAAACATTTGGACCGCCTTTGCTGCTGGTTGTGTAAATCCTGGCTAGATTGTGATAAAACTTATTTTTTCCATCTGTAAAATATTTGCTCTGAGTAGATGTGCTGGCCTTTTCCTGTTAGACAGCTGAGAGCAAGTTTTTAGAGTTTGTTTACCTTCTGATTCAATCTGCTGTGGTTCCATGTTTAGTATTAACTTAAACTGTTTACATCAGCTTTTCGCCAATGCTCTGATGTTTCTGTGGATGCCACATACACTATATTGCCAAAAGTATTTGCTCATCTGCCTTGACTCACATATGAGCTTAAGTGACATCCCGTTCCTAATCCATAGGGTTCAATATGACGTCGGTCCACCCTTTGCAGCTAGAACAGCTTCAACTCTTCTGGGAAGGCTGTCCACAAGGTTTAGGAGTGTGTTTATGGGAATTTTTGACCATTCTTCCAGAAGCGCATTTGTGAGGTCGCACACTGATGTTGGACGAGAAGGCCTGGCTCTCAGTCTCCGCTCTAATTCATCCCAAAGGTGTTCTATCGGGTTGAGGTCAGGACTCTGTGCAGGCCAGTCAAGTTCATCCACACCAGACTCTGTCATCCATGTCTTTATGGACCTTGCTTTGTGCACTGGTGCACAGTCATGTTGGAAGAGGAAGGGGCCAGCTCCAAACTGTTCCCACAAAGTTGGGAGCATGGAATTGTCCAAAATGTCTTGGTATGCTGAAGCATTCAGAGTTCCTTTCACTGGAACTAAGGGGCCAAGCCCAGCTCCTGAAAAACAACCTCACACCATAATCCCCCCTCCACCAAACTTTACACTTGGCACAATGCAGTCAGACAAGTACCGTTCTCCTGGCAACCGCCAAACCCAGACCCGTCCATCAGATTGCCAGATGGAGAAGCGCGATTCGTCACTCCAGAGAACGCGTCTCCACTGCTCTAGAGTCCAGTGGCGGCGTGCTTTACACCACCGCATCCGACGCTTTGCATTGCACTTGGTGATGTATGGCTTGGATGCAGCTGCTCGACCATGGAAACCCATTCCATGAAGCTCTCTGCGCACTGTTCTTGAGCTAATCTGAAGGCCACATGAAGTTTGGAGGTCTGTAGTGATTGACTCTGCAGAAAGTTGGCGACCTCTTCGCACTATGCGCGTCAGCATCCGCTGACCCCGCTCCGTCAGTTTACGTGGCCTACCTCTTCGTGGCTGAGTTGCTGTCGTTCCCAAACACTTCCATTTTCTTATAATACAGCTGACAGTTGACTGTGGAATATTTAGGAGCGAGGAAATTTCACGACTGGATTTGTTGCACAGGTGGCATCCTATCACAGTTCCACGCTGGAATTCACTGAGCTCCTGAGAGCGACCCATTCTTTCACAAATGTTTGTAAAAACAGTCTGCATGCCTAGGTGCTTGAATTTATACACCTGTGGCCATGGAAGTGATTGGAACACCTGATTCCAATAATTTGGATGGGTGAGCAAATACTTTTGGCAATATAGTGTATGTCTGTTTCATGTAGAAGAAACCTACAGCAATGAACCTGGAGAATAGGAAGTTAAATTCCTATCCTTTTACTGGGATTGGAGGTTTAAGAGGATATAAGAATATTTGAATGATTCTGTATAAATGTAATGGCACTCACCTCCAATTTTTGGTGTGCAGCGGTGCTTCTTCAAGGCGAATAAGAGCATAACGGGCTGCATTTAATGACAGACCTCTGATTCCATCACCCCACTCCGTTTCAGCTCTGCATCAAACAGGAAAACATAATTTCTCTACTCAAATGGTTTTCTAAAGGCTCTATGAATTGAATTTCACCGATTGCCAAAAAAAAAAAAAAGTGGGACACTGGGACATCAAATTAAAGCTGAAATGATCCCATTAAAGTCAAATTTTTTTTTTTTTTACAGCAATTCCAAAATGATCTCTTGGCTTCAAAATGTGGGAACTCACCCTCTGTATTCAATGTATTTGTAAATACAGCCAGCGATCACAATGGCAATCAGGGCATAAAACCAGGAGCAGATGAACATGAGAGACAGACAGAGACTCATGCCAAGGAAGGACAGAGCCCTGCAGGAAACAAACAGAAGTTCTTAATGAAACAGACTTACAGAAAAAAAAAAAAATAAATGTATTTCTTAAAGCTCTACTAATGGTGTTTCCATCAATATCTACGTACAAATTCTCCACAAAAACTCTATACTCTTCCATCAACGGTTTTCTGAAGTATTCATTATATGTAAAATGCTAACATTAACCTCTTACACCCTAAGGGGGTATAAATAAATTTCTGCCTGACAAAAACACACAAAAGTAAATAACTTATAGCCTCAAAGCTATTAGATTTAAGAAGAAACTTTTGGTACGTCTGTAAAGGTAAGATGTCATAGAATGGTTTTCTGGTGTCAGCACCATTGTAGCTTTGACCCTGCCTGAAATATTAGGGACAAAATACAAAATATTTTGCATTTTTTGAACCTCGCCAAAATTTTCTTTGAAATAAACATTGCAAAACACTACCAAAATATTATTTATAGCACAAAAAAGTAGTACAGACTTTCAAATCTAAATGTTGTGTAAAAATATACCAAATTTGGACTCAATCAGATGAATCATATTTATTTTAGAATGGTATTAGTGAGAAATTTCTTAGGCGGAGAGGCCATTTTGGCACATTTATCCATAAATGTCACCAAACTGTGCCAAATATGTTTTTTACATCAATACTGGGGGTTTGTTAAAATTACGAAGTCACGTAGCAACTGGACCCACTGTGCATTTTTGACATTTGGCTTTACAGCCAAACTGTGCAACGTTTAGCCACTAGGGGCACTAGACCTATGCATTTCAAGTTTAACGCCCCTGAAAGCAACCAGCAACTTGCACTGTCGCAAGAAAAACAGCCTTTCTCTGTTTTGAAGTCTGATAGCATATCGCTTTGGATCAGCAGACTGAGAAGTTGAGAGTTACTTATAAATTATAGGCCACATTAAACCTCTAGATAAAATCCTACAACACAGACCAAAAAATATGTTTGATCAGGTAACTTTCATATTTGTTTTGTTGCCGAAAGACATATTAGCTATCATATTAAATGGGAGCTCAGACAGACAAAAAGCAGCATGGTTGATTTAGCGATGGATTTGACCACGTTAAGTTACATAGGCAAGTGTTTGAGCAGGACATCCCGCATGGAGCATCGATACCTGCCAAGGACTGTATATTGGCCAGAAATCATTTAAATATATCTCAAATATAGCTAATCATTGGATCAAAGATGCTAAATTGCAAATATGGCTTCTATTTGTGACCTGCTCCAAATCAACCTAAAGGTAATCCAGCAACTCAAAAATAAAAAATCGTGTTGCTGGACAGATGATCTATCTCCACCATTATCTATTTCTGACAGACCAAATATGTTAACATGGACATGTAGGATTATAACCCTCCATCTTTCTCATTGTATAACTTGTTGACCAAAGATGATTTTGCATATCAGTTCAATTAAATTTCAATTCAATTCAGTTTATTTATATAGCTCCAATTCACAACACATGTCATCTCAAGGCCCTTTACAGTTCACCAGATCATACAGTCAAATTGATTCAGTTTGACTGAATGTTTGATGGAAGTTTTCTATCTAAGAAAAACCAGTTGATTGCATCGACTCATTGACTCGAATGCAATCCCATAAGTAAGTAATTATTTTGGTATCTTTGTCTCAGGGTTTTGTATATTCTGATGATCAGTGTTTTCTGCATATTCATGAAGGCAAACATACTAAACGCACTGTAGGTATTTTAAATTTCTTAATTTCTTACCAGTGATAGAACTTAAAGCGGGGTCTCCAATTGGGTGTACGTAGCAATGTTTGAACAGCACAGGCCAAGTTGACAAACAAATAGCACATGAGGAAAAACCTAAAGGGTCAAACAATATGGATAGTTTAGTGATACAAACTGAGTACAATAAACAGTAACTGGTTGAGCATGTGGGTGATTTCCAGTTTCGTACATAGAGAGGATGGGGGCCACTTCATCCAGAGAGGCAATAAGGATTCCTATCTCACAAATCCCAACTGTGAGCAAAAGAGCCCAGGTGGGCTCACCATTTCTCTTGCCATGACCAAAGACCTGAGAGAGACAGAAACACAACGGATAGAGGCCTGATCAGAAGTCCTTTCCTATGTTTCACTCAATCTTTGCAAGAAATAGCTCTAATTCACTCTTATACTGCTTCTAGGTTACTCTATTGGAATATGGAAATTTTACTCTACGTGTGTTGGATCAGTGCTTTTTATAAATAAAGCATTTATATATATATATATATATATATATATATATATATATATATATATATATATATATATATATATATATATATATATATATATATATATATATATATATATCAACAGTTTTATATGGGTATTAAATCATTCTTTAAGGCGTTTGTGATCATTGTGTCTAAGAGGAAAGAATATACCGTACTAAAACATGAATGTAAAAATTGTTTCATTCTATATATAGAACAACAAGAAGGATAATGATTACACTGTACAAGTTTTTGCCCTTTTAGGGCCACTTTTCCACTCGTGTGAGAATTTTTTGGATGAATTAGGAATCAGTGGATAGATTTTGGATAAATTAGGAATCACATGCTTGAAATTCAGTCGGCAGTTGTAAGGTGTTTGTGGGCAATTCCTGTTGTTGAAGCAGAGCTGTGAGCGTCTATAAGTCGATTTACCAAAACCTCATACACTGCAAATGTGCAAACAAGGGAGTGTAGTTTTGGAACGTACAGTGTGAGCAGGTAGATCGAATCAGAGAGTCGGGCCGTACAGTGTAAGAACATGCATTGAGGGCTGTGAACTTTTAAACCCTGCAATTTCATCGTACAGTTTGAACTGTAGCTGAGTACAATTGAAATATTGCACAGTGTATGACTGGCCTCAGATTCTTTTGTAAGGCATATCTGTGAAGATCCTCAGTTATTCAGGTCATTCTAGAAAATGTTTCGGCTCTCATCCAAGAGGCTTCTTCAGTTCTAACTAGTGGTAGGGAGCACTGAGATTAATATACTGTAGGTGTAACAAAGAATTAGGGGAAAACAAAAGGTGGCTCTGATCCATCCTACTGGATTGGCCATGGGGGTCACCTGGAGGTCATCCAGTAGGAGGGATCATTACCACCTTTTTGCCCCCCCCAAACAGAAGGTCTTAATGCAACAGACTTTCATTGAGACCCCCCCCCCCCAATTCTTTGTTACACCTACAGTATATTAATCTCAGTGCTCCCTACCACTAGTTAGAACTGAAGAAGCCTCTTGGATGAGAGGTAAAGCGTCTTCTAGAAAACTTCATGTCTAGTTACCATACAGTACTGAATTACGCTCTGCATTGTCACTGCTGAATCTGCCCATATATGACCGGACCAATCACAGCACTGGACGCGGGACTTTACGATGCATGACTCTCAGCGCCACAATTATCCGTAACACAATCATGCTATTCTGCTAGCATAACAACAAGCCGGTCAAAGCAACGCAGCAATTGTGCCAGGGGCGTCTCTAGGTTCAAGAGACAAGGGTGGCTCAGCCCCTAGAAGATAATGCGCGCGTAAAGCGCGCGCCGAATTTTTTCAGTGCAACTGCTAAGGCGTTGTCTAAGACAAGGGTGTAACTTTGTGTTGAAAGTTGGTGGGGACGGCTCATAAGGAAAGGGAGGTCCCTGCGCGACGCCTTTTTTTTTGTTGGAAAGGATAAAGCCAAAAAAATGCGAATAACATTTATCAATTTAATGCTTACAGTTGAAAACATAAATGTTACAATATTCACTTATATATTTTGTGCAAAAAATATCACATAAATCTAAACAGACAGTACAAATCAAAGAAATCAAATAAATATATCAATTTTGTAGAACATTTATTGACAGTCAATTTTGGGTCACTTTTTAAAATTTATTTACTTTTAAACCAGGACTCGGACAAGATCTTATGGGACCTTAAGCAGAATATGATTAAGCAACTCCGTCTTTCTGTCAAGGACATCCACCAGCAGGGTATCCAGGGGGGGATTTACCATTAGGCAATACTAGGCAGTTGCCTAGGGCCCCAAGTTCTGGGGGCCCCATAAAACTCTGTTTCCATGTATGGTTAATACAACTAATCCTTATTTGTGCACATTAATTATGTTTTTGATAAAAATCCTTTGGCTAAAATGCCATCAGAACGCTGATAAATAGAAAGGAAAAAAGGGACAAGAAGAGAGGGACAAAACCTAGAACAGATAATGGATGTCTATTCTATTAACATTTCTCTATCTGTAGAATGGGGCTGTTTTATGGGTTTACTTCTCAGGGGGCCCCCTGCCTGTCTTTGCCTAGGGCCCCAAATTTCCTAAATCCGCCCCTGAGGGTATCAATACTGATTTGATAGAATCTGGGAGAGCGGACTATGTTCAACCATCCATTTTCTTTAACCTTATCCCTCAGTGGGATCAGGAGGTGCTGGTGCATATCTCTAGCCACGTTCTGGGTGAGAGGTGGGATCACCCTGGACAGGTCACCAGTCTGTCGCAGTATGTTCAACCAGCTTAAAAGTAATCGGTAATCAGATTTATTATTTGCACTTTTACTAAGTGAACTTTCTAACTCCCTTAAATCTGAAATTCCAATGCCAAAATTGTTTAAATCTTTTATCTCTGGACCCCCTGCAGAGTGACGTCACACCTGCAAGATCCTATCCTTACCTTCCTGCTAGATTGCAAAAAGCAGCTTGCTCATGAGTTGTCAACATAACACGCTAAATCTTAAATGTACGTGTACATATAAAAGAAAAAGGGGCGCAGTGCTTGCTACTGAATGGCAACACTATCAAAGTCAGGAAAAAGTTTTAAGTAAAGCCGGGATTAAAACAGTAGCTACAAGAAGCTTCAAATAAAAGCTGTTCTTTATGTTCGACCTAAACACCAACTCCGATAGACCATCAGTAGAGCAGGTGTTTAAATTAATCAATCACTGCTGCGAAAGCTTATAGCAGTGAAAGCTAATATACCACAGCCATCACTTAATAAACGCAAAATAAACAACCCTCTAAAAACGGAAAACTGTAATGGACTGAAAGTCCTGTTTTTTATGTGGGAAATTATTTGCGTGTGTTTTAGTATAATTCTGATATATTGGCGCTGTTGTCTGTTTCTATGGCAACGATACTGAATGTAGTGTAGCCTAGAGACCTGCATGGGTCGAGTTTTACCAACCCGCACCCGCCCGAACCCGTTAGGATGACTACCGAACCCGACCCGTCACCCGCGGATATCTTCAATTCAAATGTTATGGGGAGAGGGCGGAGGGGGGTGATGGGGAGAAAGCGAGAGGCAACAGATTCTTTTTTCTGAGTTTTTTGTCGGGGTTTGTGGACGGTGAGCAGCGGGGAGAACTTTTTTTATTTTCTTTCTGAGGAGCGGCATGAATGGGGTTTTAATCAGATATACACAGCACCGAAAGCAAAATACGTGTACAAAATATTGGTGGGGACATGTCCACACCAGTCCTTAAGGAAGTTACGCCTATGATTGTTCAGATTAACTTGTCTTCTTTATGGCTTTTATTCGGTGCTTTACTGCATTTGTTTTGGGAAAATATGAGGAAAAAATAAATACAGAAAAAAAAAATATTTTTTTTTTAATCGCAAAATAATTATAGGGTGGCTAATGCCAAAGAAAGGGTGACTGAAGCCACCCTTAAATAGGTCTAACGACGCTTATGAATTGTGCAATAAAAATTAAGAATGAATAGAAAGCACATCTTATATCCTCAGAGCTTTTAGAGAAAACTGTCAGAAATTGTTTTCTGGGAAGTTTCTTTGAAAACTTGACATGTTCAATTGACTACAAAACATGGTTCTAGCCTGGTGAGGCCGAATGTGTCAGTCCCACCTTTGAAATCTAGCTGCACTGGCGCTCTACCAGATTGATACACCGTGTATATGTCATATCCGTCTGGCTGGCCACACCGCTGCTGTCCACCCTCCCCCCATGAAAAACCAAATTCTGTGGACAACTCTGTCAGTTTCCTTCTCAAAAATTGGCTATGCTGGTTTACATAACAAGCCATTTGTTTGCCTCTAAAGGTCATAGAAAATTACCTTATTACCACTAAAAACTCTCTGAATCATTGCAGACAAAACAGGAAGGGAAGTGAAGTTGACTATGTAGACATTCGTGAGTTAGAGCATGTTTGCAGGGGTTTGTTGTTTTTAAAGGAATACTTCCAGATACGTTATGAAAGTTTTTAGAAAACAGTTTATGATTAAATTACAATACCATCAGGATCCAACGCAAAATTAGATTTCATTTTCTAACATATATTGCAAAGTTAAACATGAAAAAAATCTAATACAACAGGTCTGCTATTTAAACAATATGCTTTGTAATCAATCTTTATCGAAATCGTGATCTAAAGAAAAACTCTTTGACCACTCACCTGTAAGAAAGGGATGATGCCATCACGGGCGATGGCCTGCAGCAGACGGGGAGCACCAGTTAAGCTCTGAAGCCCAGCACCACAGCAAGAGAAAAACGAGCCAATCACAATCACCAGTGGGGACGGCCAGGCTAGAGCACCAATCACTGGGTTACTTTTCACTGAAAAGCCAAATCTAATAGAAACACAAAGATATTTTGAATAGATTTGCGCCAATTAAGCGTTTTCCGATACCTTTCTGAACATATCAGTCGATAGCGATCCAATACTAGTGCTGAATCAATGAAACATAAACCTTGCCATGTGAGTGAAGGCATCAGGTACCACATAAATATTGTTTAGGCAACAAATACACACGGATATCATCAATAGCTTCTGTGATTGCGTAACAGGTGCTGCAAACATTCGATTGGAGTGAACGTTCTCTTACTTGTCTCTCAGCACCACTCCTTCAATACAGGCTCCAAACAAAATCACAAAGGAGATATCTGATCGTAACGTTAAGAGAAGAAAGCTATTCACTATTGGCTAACATCAAATATTCCACAAAATAATAAAAAACTACAGCAAGTTGGTAGTGAAGTCAAATTCAATCCATAAACCACAGTTTCACAACCACAATGCATTAGCTGCATACACATTGAACACAAATATCAAGGATACAGAGGAAAGAGGTGGTGAGAATAGCCAGTATAGTTCCTACTGGGATGGATCTCTGAGCATCTCTAAGATCACCAGATCTGTTTGAACCAGCCATGATTCCTAAAAAGAAAATATTTACATATAACTTATACATACTTTTCTTTTTTTAAGGTATATCGAGAACAAAAAAAAAATAAGACTACTGCTTTCATTTTAAATTTTAAGGTATTTTGACTATTACCTGTAACAGAAGGAAAGTATATCCCAACCAGCAATGTGAAGTATGTGGTGATGTCATTAAAGACAAAGTACCGATCGTTGTCTGTAGATGGGCTCTGAGGAGATTCAGAATGCAGATTTGTCTTTTCTATCTTAATGCCGGTTGGACCATAGTTGCTCCACAAGTTGTCTAATAAAAAATAAAAATAAATAAAAAGGGGGAAATGCAGTGACATAACAAACTCCTTCTTCAGTTAAACTTGACTGTTAGGACAGCTGGAACTTCCAGTAAATCTACAAGTAGTCATAGGATCAAATTAAAGATTATTAAAGACTATTCTGTCTTTCTTACCTTTGACAACTCCACTCAGAAGCCCAGGTATAGCTGGGATTTCTGTCAGATTGTTTAAGGTGAAGAACTCATCGCAGGTCGCATTGCTATATTCACTGCCGCAGAAATGCTTCCACAGCTCCGTGGTGACAGTGTTGTTTTTGAAGACTTCTGTCTTTGCGCACGTTTCAAAACAATCATTCTTAAGAGAACGATTCCCCAACAGACAAACCCTGCAGAAAAGATATGGATGATAGAGCTCAGTGACTAATCTTTGGGTTTTGATACAGCATCTGACAAACCAACATTTTCTATATATATATATATATATCTATATATATATATCTATATATATATATATCTATATCTATATATCTATATCTATATATATATCTCTCTATCTATCTATCTATCTATCTATCTATCTATATATATATATATATATATATATATATATATATATATATATATATATATATATATATATATATATATATATATATATATATATATATATATATATATATATATATATATATATATATATATATATATATACAGTTATTTCCTGATAACTCCAGTACAAAAATGCTCATACAATCTTTTCAACTTTGTGAGTAATTTGCAGCTTGTTGAGATACATGTATTCAAAAGCTTAGAATCTCTAGGCCATTTAATGCAAATAGTAGATAACCTAGTCAAATGAGAATATCAAGAAGCAAATCTAACTAATTTTCAAACTTGCAACAAGAAATACGGTTACAATAAATCCCAGATCCAGATTCAGACTTGTGGGAGATGAATCACTTACTGTATGCCTTAGTCCTATTTCACTTGTATTACTTTGCAAGTTATTAATACCAGGTTTTTCTTAGTACCAGTAAGACACCATTTTATATATATATATATATATATATATATATATATATATATATATATATATATATATATATATATATATATATATACTAATAATTCTTAGGATTGACATTTTAGAATGAGGACTCTTTGAATGCTAAAATAAATATATGTTTGGCTTAGAAGACAGTATTTTAGTGGGAACACATAGCTGATGCATGAGGATTGTTCTATTAGAACCATAGGCCACTTACGTAAACTCTGGTGGTTCCATTAATGTCTTTATGGCTCCTGCATATGTGGCCAAGATGGATAGAACCACACAGGAAAGAAACACCAAAGACAGTTTGTTCACATACCTACAGAGAGCAAAAAGAAAGGGGTGAAAATGTGTCCTTACACAAATATTTCAATAAACTCATATGTGTTTTCACTCACTTCACCCCAACAAACACTACTAGAGCCATCAGAAGAAGGCAGCACGTCCCATAGATACGCATATTGTTCTGCATTGTTAAACTGTTATTATCTGTACATACTGCTGGTGGAATGATGTATGTCTAGAAATGGACATAAACAAAGCCGTTGAGTCATCAAAAACTGCAGCGTACATGAGTTGACATGGCTGCTACGGTGGGCACATGTACCAGCAGAATCTCTATGGTACCCAGTATGTACAGGGATCCAGCAAAGGTGGTTCCCAGGTAGAAACAAAGGCCAACTGCTCCTCCAAATTCTGGACCCAGTGACCTGGAGATCATGTAGTACGCACCGCCAGCTATGATGAGATAAAAGATAAATTAGTGCTAACTTATTCTTTTTAATTTTTTTATTTATTTAACATTGTTGATCAAAAAAATATGGTGTAAAAACAAAATTTCTAACAACAGTTTTTTTTCTCTGCTTCGATTAGGTGATTTACTACAAACTGGCTTTCATGATCAGTGTCTGCTGGCTACTGTTTATGGAGAGTCAAAGGCTACGTTCACACTGCAGGCGTTGATGTTCAATTCCGATTTTTTTTTGTGAAATCCAATTTTTTTGCGTTGCTGTTCACATTTCCAGATATATGCGACTTGTATGTGATCTCCTCTGTGAACTGCATTCATACAACCTAAGTGTCCAGCATGCGCAGTAGAGCACGCCATGACGTCACAAGCAAGCTTGCTCTGTGTTTATGGAAGTAAACATGGATGGTATTGCTGGAGAACATCTAGAGATCTTTCTCAACCTTAAAAACTCAATATTTCCAAGATGGTACTCTCCACATTATCGTCCACCATTGTTGTTGTTTTTCTTGCCACTTCTGCGTAGCAAGAAGCAGAAGAGTGACCACTGTCGGGTATTAATGACATTCAGTTTGGGTGGATGCGACGTGGCTGTTCAGACACAGGTCGCATTTGAAATGTTCAGGTTTGTATCGGATTCAGGACCACAGAGCCAAGTGGCCTGGATCGCATTGGATAAAAATTGGATCTGTGTTGTTCGGACTGTCATGAAAAGATCAGATCCAGGTCGCATATAGGCAAAGAAATATGATTTGGGTCACTTCAGGCTGCAGTGTGAACGTAGCCAAAGTGTGATGCACTGATGGACAAAGAAATAAACATCACCAATAAGAAGCCCAGGCATATTTTCAAAGACAGAAAACGTGTCTGCCAATACCACTTTTTGCTATGGCTGCTGCTGCATATTTAGCCAGATTGATTAAGTTTGCAAAGATTATTTTAAAGACTATGTTAGCCTATTTTTCACTCCAGCTACTATATTTAAATACTTTTAATGTGTAAGTAAACAAATATTTTCCCATTACATTAAAATCGTGTGATTTGAACAGGATCTATTTAGTTTAAATTTGTATGTCAGTTGCTTAATTAATAGTTTGGAATTAAATTCATGCCTTATACTATCTTTATTTCAAGTCATTGGTCAAAAAGTACCAAACACAGCCATTTTTACTTTAGTCTAAAACTTCTAAAATAAATCATAGCAGTGATATACACAGAGATGTTCTGAAATGTTTTATAAAGGTGGGATTTCAATCTACCTGGTACAACTCCATTAGTTGCTATGGCGCTCATTGATATGGCAGTGAGCAAGGTCTGTTCAGAGGGAGACAAGACAGATGTTAAGATGCAGAAAAGCAGTGTCCAACTTTATCAGAAAAAAGTAAACATATCTATTGATAAATCCAAAGTTTGACATCAACATCTGATTCGTTAGCAATACATAATATTGGCTAGTTCAGGACAGGTCAATTCACAGTCAAATGCGATAACAAAAGTATCTTATACGTATGTATAAGATGTAAGGTACAAATATAAGATCACACAAAAATTATTGTTTTTTTATTTAAAAAAACAAGGATTTTATCCTTCTCTAAATGGGTGCACATCTTTGTCTCATTTTTATTATCACTATTACCTATGGCATGAGATCAATGTGAATAAGAAAAATGACACACCTGATTCACATCAAAGGAAAACTTTTGAAAAAAAAAATGTATATTTTTTTTTCAAAGGAAACTTTTGAAAAAAATTATTTATTATTAGTTTTTTTAAAGCTGCAGCAGGAAGTTCTGGGATAACCATGGACTTAGCCCTAAAATCTCAAGAAGCACACCTTACCATTTCCTTTCCCTTTCTGCCAAGTGTTGACTATTGGCTATGATGAAAATGAGTAAACAGCTATCGCAAATTTACTGGTAGGGACAAAACATCGACAATTAGCTTTACAGACACATAGCTGCTGCACACATTCTTACGCTTGAAAGACAGCAGGTGGTTTGCTGATGAGGGCTGTGATTATGAACACATTAGTGGATTGATATTGTAAAGACATTCCCCTTTGCTTTGATTGAGTGTGGTGTATTTTTCCAAATTAAAGTACCGATAAGACCATTGCAAGGAGCCAGAGGAGCTTAAAGAAACTAGGGGCAGGACATGTAAAAGAATAAACATGCATGTCCACTTTTTAAAAGCTTATGGGCGATGAAGCGCCTAAAACCAAAACTGAGCCCACCCACATAATGTGTACTGCATAATATTCTGCAATTCAGGGGCCAAATTTTCTGTGCAGTCCTACAGATGTGATGTCAATTGACGCAGCATGTGTGCCCCCAACAGCTTTGATAGAAGAAGTCATGGCTGTTTCAATAGAGATAGTGGAACATTTGCTTAACATGGTGCTTTTTGGTGTCATTAAATATGCACAGTGATCTTATAGTAAACTGTCACGTAGGAAAAAGAATTACAGCATCACCGTTGCACTGCTGTGAATATGGCTTGTCCACGTTTTTGCGTTTTCCTTTGTCGGCTTGGCTTGTGGCTACAGTTACCTGCTGCCCAGTCTTTTCATTTGTAAATCTCATTCCCCCATCCTGCCTCTAGTTCCTTTATTTCTCTCACTCATGATCTACTGCCAGGACATATAACAGTTTTTAACAAATAAATAAAACATGGTTTTCAAAAGTCAACTAATGTACATTTAAAGTGTCTGCAAGGCATTTTTTCATCAAATAAATCGAATGGAAGAAAGGTATATTGATAATGCAAACTTGGGCATTATTTTACACTCTATTGTGATACAACAGTAATAAAAGACAATTGTGGCTAAAACCCACTGCTCTGCAAGAAGCTCCAATAAAGCTGCACCCCAAAAGTGTGCTCTGCTATTTGATAACAGCTGACATTGTTTTTCTGACTCCGCCTCATCTTCTATCTCTGATAGTCACTATAATTTATCTATGGAAGCCTTCTGCAGGTAAAGTCTTTTTAGGTACCAAGAATTCCCTCGTTATGCAAAAAAAAGAGTGCAGTGAAACCTTCAAGTAAGATTTTATACTATATTTCTCAATATTTGTTAATTTCAGCAGTGCGACTTTTTTCAGCAGTATTTTACCATTTTTTACCAGTTTTACCATTTGTACATACATATATTTGGATTTCTACTGAGCAAAGAAGATCACAAGCAGTTTAAGCAGCAGTGCCTAGATCCAAAGACGGCAAATGGCATATGTATTTTCTAATAGCTCTAAATGCCGAACCTGATGCAGAAATTGCTGCTTTCTTAATGGTTGGCCTTAGCCCAGCGACATGCTCCACCCCTCAATGTATTTCCACCGTTGGACGTGTGAAAAGGAAAATGTATTCAATATAAGTTTTTTCAGCATGTTATTTAAGGTGGGTTTTAAATAGTTCCAATTATTTGAAGTTATTCAAATTTTGAAGAAGTTCTATAATCTCGTGTTTCATTCTTGAGAATCTCTCTGCTGGGTTCTTTGTGCTCAGGCATGGGGATGCCGATCACCTCAGCTGGGGTGCCTGGGGGTTCACTGCAGCATCACGGTGATGGTGTGGACCCCCGCCTGCCCCATATAGATGTCTTTGCTGGGGTGGCTGCTTCTGAGAACATGGTAGGACTGGTCGGTCTTTTATTGTTCTATGGCTGCACGATATGCTTCAGAAACTGGGAAATAAAATATTCTGAAAAACTCAGTGTATGTCAGGAGATGTCCGCTTTCGTTTACAAGGTGGGATACATTATGGAAGACATATTGGATGTGGCTGTTACTAAAAATAGTTAATAAACCTACATTAAAAAAAGTCAAAGTCGAAACCAGTGTCTCTCTGTTATTATCTCTCTGTTATTAAGACAAATTAAGGTTAGAAAAGAGAAGACAACTACAGCGATCGCAATTGTTGGAGAGAAGTTTGTCTATTTGTAGTGGGAACCAGAGCAATAATGTAAAGGTAGGCTAAAACGCGACATTACGATTCAGACTGCTAACGCTAAACATATCAAATTTAGTACCGCATACGAAAGCGGCTGATTCTCATATGTGCTATTTTTTTGCACTTAAAAAGATAGGAATAGGTTGTGAAATCTGCCATAAAAGTCAGATATGGGTCCCTTATTTGGTAACAAAGAGTATATTAGGGCCGCATTGCCCGTTTGAACTTAGCCTAAGTTAAGCATGTAATAAAGCTTAGCAGATATCCTTGAATTACAAGCAGGAACAATCCGTTGGAATAATTTCATCAATGTAAAGAAACATCAGAAAATGGGTACACATTATTGATGATGTGTGCTCTTTGTTCACATTATATCACATGAGTCCTGGTCAAGATTATTTCAGAGTTTTTGAACAGTCAGAGCTCTGTTTGGCCATCTGCAGCAGCTGACATATGAGGCTGTTAAAAGACACAACCTTTCTGTTCCCTTTGTGAGTACTTTCCTCTGAGCCCAGACATGATTACCACTTACCAAGCTTTGAACTCAACATAGGATTTTATTTGAACATCTTAAAGCATCTTATTATTAGAGTGAACCTAAAAGTTGACCTTAGATGCTATATTTCATGTGTAATGAATGTGATTTTATAAAATGATGAAGACATTAACAAAGCTGACACGCGGGCACTGCTAATGCGATTCCAAAGACTCACACAGATGCAGCACATGGAGACGATGGCCAAAGATTCCAAGATCCCTGCTGTGCCGACAATCCAGGTAAGGCGGAGAAAGAGGATGACACCTAAGATGTTCTGCATGCAGGGCAGATAAACCCCAATAAATGTGCCCATCTGAGGAACCTGGAGACAAAACACAGAGATGTATCAATTAAATATTTCATCCTCTACTCGTCACTTTAATGGGTTCACCATACTAGATCCTGGTTGCCTTCAGAACAACCTTGATTATTTATTTCATAGATATATCGAGCCAATTAAATTCATTCCTTTAAGATTTTGGCATGATATCAACATGACAGCGTCAAAAATTTGCTGCATGTCTCTGTTATACATTTACTTTGGGTGTGAATTTCTGGGGTGTGACTTGCTCTGCTGTGGCTAGTGCAGAGCATCTAAACTGGATCTTGGACAGTGCGCTGCCAACTTGCTGCTGGGCATTTAAAGGTATAGTGGAGGATTTTTAGCCAATTTTTGAAAAGACCCGCCTTCTCCATTTAAAAAAACAAATACACAAGCAAATTCCATGTACCTGCTCCCGAGAGGGAACGCCTATTAAACGCGTGCGAGAACATGCACAAGCCAATTTCTCCTCGTGCAAGCTCTGTTTAAAAGTTGCTGTTTGCATTGCTCATACAAGCTTACTTTCCAAAAGAAGATTTGCAATTTTACCAATAAGTCAGACTTAACAGCGGTAAGTGAAAATGGGGATGACCACATAGACGGCCTTATGTAAAGGCCGTCAGAATGACTGACAATTAGGAGGACCAGTTATTTTGATGATCCACCCGGAAAAAGATAATCCTTTTTCTTTTTCCGACAAGACAATGAAATGGATGTTTGTCTATAAATATATTTCTTATTTTTAAGATCCCTTCCAAAACAATGTTAAATATTTTCTGATTAAATATCACATTGTTGGTATTTTGAATCAATACAAATAATGTTTAATGAAATATTGTGATATCTAACAGAAAAACCATAAAAACCTCAGCCTTCAATACATAACAAAGGAGCTGTGTTGGGGTGGTTTCTAACCTCTTTTATTGAGAGCCAATCCTTTTATGCACAGAAAAAAAAGGTCCCCACATAGACAAGTGTGTATGTTTTAATGTTTGCTTCATATATGCTTTTAGTATAAAAATACAGCGTTACTTACTGAATTTATTTTTAGTTGAAGTAAAAAGCCAAATCATCTCTCGGACTTCAGCATTGACATTAGTTTGTACATTACTTTTGGATTTGACTATTTAAAAGTGCATTAAATTCTTTATGTGCGGGGAATGCTATTTTTTTATGTAAAATATCAGCTGATTACAGGCAATACAATGCAGATATCTATTTTATTCTTACATTAGGAAACCCATAATAGACACTGAAGTCATGCTGGGTACTCCAAGTGACCGACATAAAGGTAATACACCCTAGTTTGGGAATCTTTACTTACTGGAATGTGATTTGTTTATTGTTGGAGGCCACTGGGGGTCATTTTCAGGTAAGCAATATGAGATTAAATGAAAAAAGATTAATTAATGATTGTAAAGCTGAAAGAAGCCATCAAGATGGGGGATTTGTGTTTATAGAAAAGCACAAACATCAGCACCAACACTACAGAAAGTTAGGTTTAAATTTTTTTTCTCAAAAAATAATTAAGTAAAGTAAGGCTCTTAAGATGTCTGACTTGTTTCTGTAAAGTGAAAGATTGTTAAGTGTCCCTTCTCAATCAGCAGTTTTGTCAAATAGTCAGACTGCCCTGTCAACGGAGCAATTTTCAAAGTCTCTTCCATCTAAATTTGTCCCCATTTAGATGCTTTACCAAGCCTAGGTACCAAAATATGTCCAGGTGCTTTTATATGATTGGCCAATTTGATATTTGTAACAACAAACAATAAAAAGTAGATCAAAGAAAGTAACTGGTTAATTTATATGAGCATTTGAATTATGATAAAGTCTTATAACATCCCATTGTGTTCCAATTATTTCAACTAATTATTTCTGTAAATCAAAGTAGCACTATAAGCCAGGTTCCTTAAATCTAGAGCCAAGAGGGAATGGAAACACAATCTATTTACAGGGGACAGTTGCCATGACGACTGCATCCTGACATTTAAACCAAACATTTCTGTCTATTCATAAAATTCAAATAAGTTAAATTATTGAGATATACGAAATCTTTAACATATTCCATGTGTTTTGCACAGCTGGATATATGCCCTTTAAAATTCACTAGAGGTCTTTGACACTCTTATTCCTTCTCTAATGTTGTGTATTAGATGCTTTAAACCATTTTCACTAACACGGACAAATAAACTAAGAGAATAAAGTAGGCAAAAATTAAAATAGCCCAGATACTTATATCAGTTGATCAGAAATATTTTTTTTTTACCCCTTTCAGATGAAAATTCTTAAATCAATAAACTCATTGTATAAATATTACGAAACCCTAAAATGGGTGTCTCTATACCCTAAGAAAGCAAATCCAGGTATACTAGCGACAGTGGAAACACATTCAAAAGAGTTCACATTCTACAAAACAAACTATGATGCATAATATGCTCCGTATGCATTGCTATCAGTTTCCTCCCAAAATGCCAAAAGGTACATACCTTCTTCTGATTCGAAAACACATTTCCCTGTGGCTGGTTCATTGCAAACAGCTGTTTCTCGAAATGACTCAAAGTGCCCTTTGTGGTGCTGTAGTTCCACATTTCCCATATCTTCTCCCCTAAGTTGTCCTGCATTCGCCTTCTGCTTCGTTGCTCCTTTCCCTCAGTCTCTTTGCATTATTTGTCTCATTCATGTTGGACTCAAGCTTAAGATCTTCTTTCGGATGACATCCAGGGGGTGGGTTTTAATGAAAATGCAATCAATGCCTTTTAACAGACCAAAAGCTCAAAGTTCAAGTTCTGCTTTAATCAAAAACTCCCAATGTTCTGTGTTCACCGCACTGCTTAACAGATGACTTTTGTTACAACTGTGACAAGTTGGTTCATGGCAATTATCAACATCACAAAAGTCAATTTCTTTTACTTGCCATCAATTTAGCAAGATTAAACCATTTTGAGTTTTTGCCACACTGATTGCAGACATGAAAACTTTTTTGTAGGGTTGGCCGCTGTGGGAGCATCCGTAAATCTAGCATTTAACCAAATAAAAGTGATATACATTCAACATGCCAAATTAAAGTATGTTTCCCTGGCTCTTTAAGAAGACAGTTGTCAAAAGGAGCAGATGAACACCTTTAGATCTAACTGGACTACAACACGGATTAACTGTATTTGTTAAATTGGGTGTCGGCTCACCATTACAAGCAAGTTCTCAGTGGAAATTCCCTATCCTCGGTTACAGCATTTCATTTAAGCAGGTTTGCAGTGAGAGTGTGAGTAATCAATTACCCTCCACTCTCTGATCCTTTCTAAATGCTAAACTGGTCAAGCAGATGATGGAAATTAAAATCAGAGTATGGAAAGGGTTCAGGGGTCAGTAACATTTTAACCAAGGTGCAATTCTATTAGTCGGTAGAATTTATCTTCAGGCAGTCTAATCAACTTTGCATGGGATGCACTCCAGCTGCAAAATTTTTATCCATGAACCAAAAGACATTTAAAAGTCCCTGTGTATTTGTTGCATCCATCTTCTAACAATTCTCTCCTTTCCATATAACAAAGAATCTGACTTGTTTCAACATTTTTAACAGTTTTCTGTTCTCATCCAAAAGCTTTTTGTGCATAACTGATGGAGTGCACAGCGCAACATTAATGATCATGGTATGATTTTAAATTATATGCCTTTCAAATCCCTGCAATCACTACAAAGTACTAGAGATGTCCCGATCCAGGTTTTTGCACTTCCGATCCGATACTGATATTGTTTTTGGACTTCCGATCCGATACCGATACTGGCCGATACCAGCCTATCCGAGCATGTATTTAAGTTTAAGTTAAAGTATTTAGCCTTAGTTGTAAGACTCATGTTGAAAAGGGTTTTAGTACTCTTGATAACATCTAGCCAGCTAAATTAGGTGAGATTGAATAAAACACAATGCTTGGTAACAACAAACTTATCTGTTTATTAAGAGATAAACACAAACTGGACAAAATTATGAATAGCAATCTGAAATTGCACAGTGAGCAGTAAAACCGTAAACAGTTAAAGGTGCAAGTATTACTGTAAGTTTTAATAAAAATGCAAAACAGGGGAACACTGGCGCAAAAAAGATGAATGGATCGTTTCAATCGGCGAAACTGGAAAATACGGACCGGATTTTTTTTTTTAAACTGGATCGGCAGTCTGGATCGGCATTTTACATGCTTTGCCGATACGCATTTTTTTGCCAATATCGGCGTCCCGATCCGATACGTGGATCGGATCGGGACAAGCCTGCAAAGTACTATATTTTTTCTCACATATAGTGGATTTTTTTCTCATACAGCATCAGCTTCTTAACCCTTTATAAGACAAGTTACTGTTTTTGATCACTTACCCTTACAAAGTGAGTTCTAGAAGCACAATATCTATATCCAGCCATTCAGCAAAGATACTACTACATGGCTATACATCTTATTTTGGCATTTAACCAATTAGATGAGCCCTTGAATGACATATTACCTATTGTAAATAAAGTTGGAAAGAAAGGTCAAGAAAAAAAAGGTAAAAAGCTAATTGAAAAGTTAAAAAGTTAATAAACCTAGTTACCAACTATATTTAGGTTTATAAACTACAAAATGTAAGTGCCAGTATCAGCATTAATGCCCCTAAGGTTATGTTGTAGCAAAAAAAAAAAAAAAAGGTTTTGTTATTTTTCTTTATATATTCGGGCAAGTTGGTGTTTCTTTTTAGTGAGTTGACAATTATTGCTGCCAAAATATAAATTTTTTGAATGTTACAAAGGTAATACATTGTGATTTTCAAAGTATTTCACCGAGTGCCCAATAAAGGGTTAAATCAAAAGCCGGAAAAAAATTGCTAAACACTAATCTAACCTACACAAAAGCTCAACTAGTTGTACTGGAAAATAGTAACATTCATGTGTTTTATTGACATAGGTTTTACTTTTTTTTTAATAAAAAGCTAGTATAAAAATACACACCTGGTTCTTAAAGTAATTTCTAAAACATCAATTTGGTTATTACTTTGTGTTGTAATCAAAAGAGATCAAAGTAACCCACAAAGATAAAAAGATGAGAAAGACTTTATGTTTATGTTGATAGGCATGCTCAATGTCACCCTACTGTATCATTAACTTAACAAGTTGTTTAATGAAAGAAACCTCTCTCTACTGAGACAGGGGTCCATACCATAACAGCAACCCTCGTGACCCCGTCTTCAGCCTCCTCATGCTCACGAACGCCCTGGGGGAGGTTAGTGTATTTGGCCAGCTTGTTGAGAAGAGAGGCAACCATGGGGGCACTGTCCATTTCCTCCTATAGGCAAAAAGATCTTTTTAAAAACACAATAAAACTCAAAGAAATCAAAACTTTTTCCAACTTAAGAGTCAGTTACCTCATAGAGGGCCATGTTTTTGTCTTTGTAATTCCATTCCCCATCATTGTTTGAGTTGATAAACGGAGTAGACTCTTTGTGACTTTCCTCTGTTAGAAATATACAGAACAAAGAAAAACATGTCATGCTGACAATCAAGAAAGACAACCGGAGGACTAACAACTGCACAGTATGGTAGCTTGGTTCCTATGTTAGTTATATAGCTGCACCATATACAAGAATTTACATTGGAGTCGGCCGGTAAGCCAATTTTTATATTGAGCACCATTGTCAAAAAGTGGACAGATGTATGAGATATCGCACGGGATTGTGGGTGTCCAAAGGAAGCAAAGAAACAAGGCTAGTAGAGTAGTAGTAGTTCTTTTTTTGGAGTCAAAAAGGGAAATGTAAATAATGTATTTGATGTTGGTATGTATTAGTATTTGCACAAATGTCCATAGTGGTTAGTAAAAATAATACTACAGGTGAACACAGCAGTGGAAACACCAGGGAGGGAAACACATGGTGATCTTGGGTTAATAAAAAAAGTTCCTGTGCTCCTAAGCTTCCCAATAATTGAAACAATAAAGAAGTTTTTTTATATATATATATATATATATTGGAAGTTAATTGACATTCAAGGTTCATTGTCACCTTATAACACCTCTCATTTAGCCTGGTAAACCACAGTAAATGTGAGATTAAATGTGTAACTTAGTCTGGCCCCAATGAATGAGTCATCAGAAGATTGTTGATGAGAACAACCCGTTGTTTTTCAAACTATGTCTGTGCCTATTGGCCAACGCTCTGACCAATGAGCGCAACTGACTGTGATGTAGTGGTCAAGCTTTTTTAAAGATCTGTCATTGTGATTGGCTAGAAGGCTGTAATTGGTGCACCCCTAATGCAGGGTTAGTAAAGCTGTGAGTAGATTAACTTAAAATATATTTACTTAAGGTTAATAAAAGCCAAATGTGGAATTGGTTGTTTTTGGAATGCTAACTTTAAACATGATCCCCTCACCTATTGTGAGAGGGAAGCTGAGGAGTGTGGGTTCTACAGTCCAAGCTGTGCATAAAGAAAAGTCCAACTACTTCTAGCTGTTAATGTTGAAACCCATAAGAATCCCATCTACCAGTCAGGGGATGGTTCATGTCCCCAAAGCCAGGTTTCCATGGACCCTGCTCTCATATTCGGTCCAGCAAAGCCCAAGGATTCCTGAATTATTCAAGCAACGAGAAGGCCTAATGGTGGACTTTTTTTCCCCCAGTTGGAACAGGAGCTTCCCCATAGTGATCCAAACATTCTGTATGGATGAACAAGTATATGTTCAAAAAAAAAAAAAAAAAAAATTTTAAAAGACCTGATAGAACTAAAGGGAAATCAATGTTTGGCTATACTATAGTTAAATTTGAAAGACAAAGATCTATCAGATTATGTCATATATTTCATATTTCCTGGCCAGTTCTGCAAAAGGGAAAATCACTATAAAATAAAATGCTACTAAAGGATAAACTTTAACCAATTTTCCAATATAGTCTAAGAACCCAGTTCAAAAGAACTTTTAAACAAGGGATTTAAAGGATCTATGGGATAGCAATTTGGTATTACATGGTCCTCTTCTGCTTGAAGAGCATCCAGCAGATTAAAGGCTTTCCACAGTTTAACATTTGCCTCCATTATTTGTGTCTTTTTGAAGAAGTCTTGGAAAGTTATCCGGAGCACCCAGTCAGCAGCTCTTTCTGTATTACCATGTAGAATCCTTCATAAAAGATCATAGAATGAGAACTGAGCTGTGGGTGCACATGATCTACTGATGTCTTAGAGCAACTGCTAGATACAATAATAAACATTATAGATAAATTTAATTTGATGGCTATTCTCTATTTTCACACCCAGCCAAATTCCTTTGACTTTTGGCAATTTCCGTTCAAGTTCGTATAACCTATGTTGAACAGTCTGTTATATTAAAACTGATGTTGCCTTTTTATGTTTTAATTTGATTACTTTTTTTTTTTTGCTGACATCTCTTTGCTTTTAAAAACAACGGTGCTTGACTTATATCAGATTTCCTAAAAACGTGGCTATTTTTGATGCATGCTATGAATGCTGACATGGAACTGATATGTTTTAGTTACATATCAAGATTTTTTAGATCAAAGCATTCGAGCTTAAAAGGGCAAAAACAGAGAAATAAAACTAAAATATGTCAAATTTAAAATGTATAAATTAAAGAACTTAATAAATACAAAGAAATTGTATATCAATGTTTGTACATAAACACAAATACTTTCGTATAACTTGATTTATATAACAAAAATTAACACTCTTTTAATTAATTAAAAAGACTGATTAAGAATGACTACTTAATTGATTTTAATATTTACCAGCACATAAATGCAGGTTATTTAGAAAAGAGAAATACCAAGCTCTTTAGGGATACAGTCTTTTATTTGAAAGATAATTTCTTACTATTTGTTAAATGAGGAAGTTATGTCCCCTAAAAAGGCAGTTGTGCCTCTGGGCTACCTCAACGGTTCTTTTCCTGGGAGCAAGTTATTTACTAATCTTAACTCAAACTGGGTAAAACCATATAAAAAAGGACTATGAAAACAGGAGTTAAAAAGTAACAGAGTTTATTCCAGATCAGGTCGTTACAGGACAGAGAAAATGCTTGGAGCTTGCACAGCTGTGGGCTCAAAAATCACCTCCGCGAGCGTCCGGCAAAGATTGAGCCCCAAACAAGGTCTTCTTCTCCTTCTTATAGCTCATGAGTCTATGTGTTGGATCATGTGGATGTTTAGCTGTCTGTATCAGAAACTGACACGCCATCCATGCCCTGACCTGTATGCATCTTGCCTCTATTCCCAAGAATTACAGGTAGCTTCCCTGTATCAGACCGGCTCCATGATGTGCCCATATCCTGTGTATTTCTAAAGACACAAAGGCTGTCCTGATTAGATGACCTTCATACACACAGTGACATCCACAATGTGAAGAAAGGCCTTCTACTCTCTCTAATCTGACTAACAGAATAACAATGCACATGATGTATAAAGAATAAATCTAACATATTTTTTTTTAAAAATGGCTTAGATGTTTGATATTTTACTGACACTAGAATTTTATATGTACCTAAATAAAATTGCTTTATACTAGAATTTTTATTTTGCTTCCAGAAAATCAAAGGAGAACAGAAAGAAATTCTCTTCTCTGTCTGATTTGTGTGACTTTAAGAAGCAAACCTTTTTATAACTTACAACTGTTAAAGAAATTCAACTTTAGTTGATGTAAAAGAAGCAATAGCAGTAAGTCAAAATAGGAGACACACGGTGTTGCAGTAGGAAACCACACCAGCAAGGGTCTGTGAACTTCAGTTCAGAAAAGATGATGCTCGTAAAAATCTTATCAGCCTTTCTTGGAAATTGCTACCAGGCTAAGATGACATGTTGTAAACATCAAGCTAAGTCCAGATTTTGTGTTTAATCTCAAATGGGTTCAGTTAACACCTTTGACATAACTATAATACTCATCTTCTAATGCAACACTAACTAGACCCCAGGCTGTCATATGAGCATATTCAATTTTAAGATTTAAAGTCCTTATGTGAGTTGATCTTAGTCTGAGGTACTGTGTCTGATTACATGATAAAAGGTAAATGTTTAACCAAAATGCCATATCTGCAGCAGAGATTATTTTTTATTATCTAAAGTTTGTTAAATTAATCCCGATAAAGCGCATCGTGTGATTTGGAAGTAAAAATGGATACTTGGTTTTGGTTTGTGGTTGTGTGCTTATTGCAGAACTATGATGTGAAATACGCTACAGTCACACAAGTGTAAATATGAATAAGATGTCACAGAATGTAGCAGCAGAATGGCAGAAAAGGGGGGGGGGGGCAGCTAGTGTCTCTACAGTAAACACACATTGTATGTCTATTCAAATTTCACTTAACATGACCTTCGGTCAATGGTAAAGTTCTTAAAGCCTCCTGGGGTACAAATTATGTTTCATTAGAAGCTTGAACTTAAATTAACTTAAACAATTTTGTTTTTCTCTTGTCTGTAACTATTTTTTTTATTTTTTTGTTCTTCTGATAACCTGCCATATGAAAAAAGTACAAATGTTAAGCAGAACACTATAAGTGTAAAGCTTCAAGCATCATTAAATATAGGAAAGGTCACACTTTACAGGCTCACTCTAATGATAAATATTGCTGGATTTCCTGTTTGCATGCCAAAAAGAGCAAATATTATTAGTTATATTCTGTCACACAAAAGCAGCTTAACTTAGGAAGTAGGTATGTACATCTACAATCACAGCTTATGGATTGTTATGACCTATCAAACCAAAATTCCAAAAATTATGACAATCTTAATGAAAAAATTAATAGGTACCATTAATTATACTGATTGTTTTCAACCTTAATGATAGCAGTAAAGTTGTTGCAAGTTCAACGAATAATAAATATACAATTTAAAAATAAATGCATTTCAGACTGTGGTTTAGGACATCAATACTAACTTGAACTAGTCTCAAACCTAACAGTCGTGTTAAATAAATATTAAATGTAGATAATTAGAAGCATATTTGTGGGATCTTTTTCCTTGATCATGTCTTTAGAAAAGGCATGAAGTTAGCCGTTGTAATGCCTCTTTTGGAATTTTACCAAAAATCTAATTAAAATATCATTATTTTATTTTGAGGGGGTGAAAAGATCAATTTCAAGATCAAAATGTGACGTAATAGATCTAATAGATCATACGATAATGCATGTATATCACATCAATAGGAAATATAAAATATACAATATTGTCTTTTGGAAAGTAAAGCAACATTATGTTTTCATACCTCTAAAAACCTCAAAATTGATCAAAGCAAATTATACCTCCTTTTCCAGATTTTTCAAGGCTGCATAGACACCCTATATTTCTTTCAAGTGAAACTGGAGCCACAGTTTGGGTTTGCAAACTGCTCTTTCAGGTTAGAATTCACAAAAAAAAAGACATGGTATAAATTATTCTGTTTATTTTTCAGTTCATATTATAAATATATTATACTTTTTAATGTATGTTAAGAGTAAATATTAGAAAAGTTAATGCATTGTTAAAGAATTGGTTAAATTTGCTCAAAAGACAATCATGTATTCCTTGTATTGGCACAGTTGTTCCCAAAGAGGGAATTGCGCCCCCTATGGGATATGCAGTGTAATTAATTGAAAAGTTTGGGAACCACTTGTATCTGTAACTGTCTTTGGTAATCTGTTTTAATGTTTGTCTTTTTGCTCCCTTAGATTTTGACAGTTTATATTAAATACTTCATTATATTTAAGTTATTTTAAAGCATATTGCTGTGATCATTCTCAGTCATCCAGGTCATAGTCATTCCAACAAAAACATAAAACAAAAAATAATCCACTGGACTAAGTTTGAAGATGTTTCGCTTCCCATCCAGGAAGCCTTTTTAATTAAAACAGTCAGGAATACAGTTGAGTTCAAGGTTTTATACAGTAGCCTAACAAAGCCTGGATTTCTTTTTTTTTTTTTTTTTAATGCAAATTGGTATAGACGAAGGGGTCCAGCCATTTGATTGTTGTTCTGGCAGAATAGCCGAGGTCATGTACAGGAGAGTGGAGGACCTTGACCCCAGGCTCACCCCAGGCTCACACCGACTCCGGTCTTACCGTTGCGGTGCGGTGGGTGCGGCGCCGCAGTGATTCCAAGTCATTAAAAAGACGTAAACCTCTCTCACCGGCTGCTGAGCTGTCCGGCTGCGGTTACCGAGACACTCCGGCGCTGCAGAAAATTCCGCAAGAAAGCTATCCTTGCGGCATGCCGGAGCCCTCCGCAACAAGCTCTCGCAAAAATCCTTTATTTGGGCCGTGTTATCGCGTGAAGTTACGTGAACTCAAGTGAACTTCTGTTAAATCTCCGGACCTGTTGCCGGAGCCGCAGAGCCGCACCGCACCGTAGTCAAAAGGGCGGTGTGAGAGGGGGTGTGCGGGAGTTGCGGTCTCCGTCGGCTCGGTAACTGCACCGGAGCCAGTGTGAGCAAGGGGTCACACCGACTCCGGTCTTACCGTTGCGGTGCGGTGGGTGCGGCGCCGCAGTGATTCCAAGTCATTAAAAAGACGTAAACCTCTCTCACCGGCTGCTGAGCTGTCCGGCTGCGGTTACCGAGACACTCTGGCACTGCAGAAAATTCCGCAAGAAAGCTATCCTTGCGGCGTGCCGGAGCCCTCCGCAACAAGCTCTCGCAAAAATCCTTTATTTGGGCCGTGTTATCGCGTGAAGTTACGTGAACTCAAGTGAACTTCTGTTAAATCTCCGGACCTGTTGCCGGAGCCGCAGAGCCGCACCGCACCGTAGTCAAAAGGGCGGTGTGAGAGGGGATGTGCGGGAGTTGCAGTCTCCGTCGGCTCGGTAACCGCACCGACCTTTCAGACACTTAGATGGGTATGGGGTATTACAGTCTAACAAAAGAGGCCAAACGACTGGATGGGAAGCAAAACGTAATCAAACTTGGAAACCAAGTCCAGTGGATTGTGTTTAATTTTTTTTGGAATGACTATGACCTGGATGACTGAGAATGCTCACCAGCAATATGCTTTAAAATAACTTAAATTAAATAAAGTATTTAACATAAACTGTCAAAATCTGAAGGAGCAAAAAAGACAAACTTAAAAACAGATTACTCAAGAAGGTTACAGATGCAAGTTATTCCCAAAATCTTTAATTAATTACACTACATATGCCATAGGGGGCGCAATTCCCTCTTTGGGAACAACTGTCCCAATATAAGGAATACATGAATGTCTTTTGAGCACATTTAAAGCATATTGTGTTCTTTCTCAGTCAGACTGTAGAAGAAGCAGAAAGTGGACATTGCGAAACCTGATCCAGGACATACCCGGTTAGTAAATGAGGGTGCTGAGATGGTGTTTATACAGTTAGCATCTTGCCTAATCAGCACTTGTTGTGTATCTGAGGGTGAGAATTCTGCTGCACAGACTCCTTTCTCTACCAGGATGGCATGCAATATGAAGTAAAAGAAACCACCCCTCTTCTCTGCAGCAAGAAAGTTGTCATTTTCTCATTTTACCAGATTCACTAAAAAAGTGACAACAGACATCTTACAAAAAATATTCTCATAGATGTCCGATTTCAGGGCAAATTTTTTTTTCACATAACATATTTATACAAATGGAGCTTTTTTCATTTCAGTTTAAGCATTTTAGTATTTAAAAATAACTAGTACCGATCTTACAATCGATCTACTATCAACTATGCATCAAAAAAATTTTTCTGCTTAAATTCTGTTTATAGTCACAGAAATGGATATATTTCTTTCATATATTTTTATAACCATTTGTATGACTTTGTAAAGGCGGTGCAATGAGAAAGCACTCCACCTATTTTTATTGAGCATGATTTAAAGCACAACAAAGGTACAGTGTGGGTGACTAAATTTTCTGCTAAAAAAACTTGTTTAATAGCAAAAACAGTAAACTAAACCACTTGTATAACCAAGGCAGTTTCAGGAGTTTAAGAATGTTTTGGGGTAAACATAGGTTATTGCTTGCCGACCAGATATCTAGATATAGGTTGTTGTGATCTAATATTAAAAGTTTTTACGATGTGTGTCTAAGAAAACTGAAGTTATAGTTGTGTTTTGCTAATTTGCACACATCCTAACATACAAATGACATAGGAGCTGCCATGCAAGCTTGACTCCCTTTTGAATAATAAAACAATGAATAGAGAACAAGCACTCCCTCAATGGAGCTTTACTCACTGGTAATACCTGTTTAATTTATTGTGAAGATTGCTTAAATGAGAGTTTAAAGTCGTTTACAGTTTTAGAGTCGTCCCGCTGGATGGTGACCCCTCCAGTCTCAAACATGCGGTCTACCAGGATTACGCTGTATTATCATCCAGCTATCTTCGTATCAACCAAGACCACCTTCCCTGCCCCTGCTAAAGAAAAGCATGGAGGTGTGCAATATTAGTCTTCCACTATTATTTTCCTCCATCCATCGCAGGGTTTCACAGGGCATTACGTTTGCATTGAGGCAAAAGTCGAATCTCAGCCTAATCTCTTGGTTGAGTGAACAAACTTACAAATAAACCTCTCATCACAAAGACACCCTGGATAAACAACCATCTGGGAACTAACTGAAAGCTAACACCAACTTAAGACTAGAAAAATTTACCTAACTGTTGTTCTTATTTGTTTGGAGAATTATAGAAAGAAGGATGACCCAGAGAGAACCCTCAAATTTGTGGGCAGAGCATAGCTCATTGGGGCTCACTTCCTGGACCTTTATGAAACCACTGCAACTCCATGTAGTTTAAAATTTTCACTAGAAAAGAGCAGATTTTAAAGTATTCCTGCCAATTGCTTCTACCACCTACGCTGTGGATCTCATCTTTGCAGCTCCTCTAAAGTTAACTTGGTTAACTTTAATTCCCACTTGATTTACAGCCTTGTTGCATGGCCAGTCAGTCTACGTAGACGACTATTAGAATTTAAAGTTGTTCTATATTGTTGGCATTATTGAGTAGTGTTGTGCCAATGCCATTTTTTTGGCCCCGATATCGATAACCGATACCTGGCTGTGCAGTATTTGACGTTTGAAATTTAAGTGTGTGTGTATATTTAAAGAACCGCATACTACTTGAATGTAAAATAATTGCCATCATGGCTTTGTCAAGCTGCTGCCTACCTCTGGGAAGCAGGAAAAAGACTAATACAAAGTGAATCCAGTAGAACTTTTTATTGCCTACCTGGAATGGGTGACAATAGTTAAACTTTTTGCTCTCAAAATGATATCAGTGCCCTATTTGTTGGTACTCGCCAATACTGATAGCACCATTTTAGTGCAGTATCGGTCTCGGTACAACACTTTTATTGAGTGACTTCTTCAGTTAAAGTTTGAAATATTTTGTTTTATAACCCAGCCTTGATTAAAACTTGGGAACAAAGCTGATTCAAATTTGTCCTCTGTGTTTCACAGTCTTTAACACGTCTGCAGAAAGGTGGGGGGACAACCATGTCAGATGTCCTGGGGCCCATAGTAGAGAGTGGGGGCCTCTTCATCATGATGTTTTCTCACAAGTGTCCTCTAAAGAAAAACTATGAAGGTAAATCCTAAATGAAGCATGCCATACTTTTCAGGTTTTATTTTTTAATGTACACTTTTACTTCATGATGTTGTGTGGATCAATGAAAACCCAAATATTAAAACATAAAAGCTAATGGTGACCATAAGACAAAGAGGTACCAATCTTGCATGGTGCTGTAAATGAAACATGTTCTCTCTGGTCTAAATGCTTCCCCAGTGAGGATACATTCTTTTGCGATCTAATCATTTAGGGTTTTTTAAGGAGGGTTTGTTTACCAGACAGAAATCAGTTTAACAAACACTGCCAGGCACAATAAAAAAACTTACTACCATTTTTTGTTCCTTTTTACTTTACATAATGAAAATATTTGTTGCTGTGTTAAGAACACAATTCTCCATAGCTTTATGAAACAAACAGCTCTTTTGCAACACCATAATAAGGCAGAGAGCTTTAGCCATAATTTTAGACTGCAATAACCTTACAGCACACAGGCCATCCTCCCCACCATATTAGTCATGCAAAGTGCAAGTTCCAGCTGGTTGAGCTTTTAAATTCCTTGTGTGTTTAAAACATGTGCATGTTATAGCATGAGATTGCCCACATCAGAGGTCTTCCGTTTCTTTTTCCTCATAAACAGTCACTGTTACACTTTATCATACTTGCACACATTGTGTTTTTTTTTTATCTTTGTGCATCCTGGCACTGTTGTTCTGTTACTGCGGAACCCTCCTACAGTTCAAGAGCATGTGAACAAGACAGAGCATTTTTGCTGTCTTTAGATTGCACCTACCTGACTCAGGTTCCTGAGAGTTGTTAACATCCCCCTCTTCTTGAAAGACTTTGTCCAGACTGATAGGTTTGCTGCATCCAGCTGCAGCTTCACTGTTGCTGCCATCCCCACTGTCATCCACTTTTACCACAGTGAAGTTTGTTGGCATCTTGATTCCTCTGTCAGGTGTTCGATGATTAAAATAAATGTTAAAAAATAGAGGATGTAACCTCTGACACAAAGGATAACATCCAAAGAGTTACAACAATCCAAAACCCTATCAGGGTAATGGGAAAAATGTTAGGATTTCATTGTGACCGGAACAGAGCACATATTCCAAATCTTTCTGTTTGGAAACATCCTCTAAATTAGGGGTGAAAGTCCTGCTTCCTGTCCAACAGACAGGGCAAAGTCTTCCAATGTGTTGTAGTCACTCCTTGTAGCTTTCCCTCCCTTTTTCCCCCACTCCCTGAAGACCTAAGATTGCCCCATGTGACTCTCTATTTACCATTTCAACAGAGCACAGAGGCTCCTCCCTAAACTCCAGCCATCCCACTTCTCTCTCTCATACCTTTGACATTCAAAAAAACAAGAGAATCTAACTTCCCTATGTCTGCTGAAGAGCTAAACAAGTCAACAAGTCACAAAAGACTAATTAAAAATCCATTTAAATAAGTAACATACAACTGAAAAGCTCTGTTTCTCCAATCCAATGTTGTTGTTTTTTGTTCTTCTTGTACCTCTAGGCTGACAATTCTGGTCTTGGTTTCTCTCCTGTTGAAAAAAAAAAATGGGTGTTACCTTTTCCAAAGTGCATTCTGGGTAATAGTGAAGTGCTACTGTTGATCATAGAGAGGACAGCCCTCACACACTGTATCCAGTAAGGAAACACCTTTAAAGCCTTGAGCAAGAACTTTCCTCTGTGTTCTGAGTACCAGCATGGATTACAATGGACAAGCCACATGGGAAAAAGAAAGAGCTTGAATAACAATGGATGACTGTAAACAATTATTTTTACTTTGTGGGAATGAAATCTTAAGCAGGAGTTTTAACTACAGCTTGTATCTTTTGTTGTTCTGGTGCTTAATAGAAACATCCTCTATGTTATTTAAAGCAGCATTGGCATTAAAAAGTGATTATGTTTTACAAAAACAAAGCCTGCTCTTTCCTTACTGGCATGTTTCCTGGTTTGGCTTTTGTTTTTGTTTGTTGGTTTATGTGTCCTCCTCCAAAACTAAAAACTTCAAACAGAGTTTTGTGTGTGTGTTATTGATTTGTATTATTATTAAACAATGTTTAGTTGCGCAGGTCTTTTATTTTTGGTTGCTCAGTATATGGCTGTGGGGAAATTACAACTGAAGATTTTTAAAAAAGGATGTGTTGAATAGCATATATGCCCTATTTAATGTCTTTTAAAAATAATATAAAAATAAAGGAGAAATAGGAGCAGCACATTTCTCCACTTTTTGTTTTTATTTAATTTTTTTTTACCTTTGCACTTTTGTTTGTACAAACACTAAATGCTCTCTACTGGGTGTCATTTAGATATTCTGCAATCAATTTGCCAACCAATTTTGTAAGTAATTTTTATAAATTGAACTCAAGGTCTACTGTATAGAAATGTGATTATATGAATAAAACACATCAAATTGATTAAATTTATACCAAAAGAAAGTCATTAGGGGCTGTATAAAAGAATAGTCTGGTTCAAATGAGCAAATAAACATGAATGTTTTACACCATCTTGGATAAGAGGAAAAACATCTTCTAGAAAACTTCACTTTTTCAACATTTACACCAATACTTGGTTTAGTTTACTGTTAATTTGCACTGCAATGGGCAGTTACTCCTATATGCTTCTTTGTCTGTTTTTCAGGCAGAAAATAATTCTGATCAGGAGAAAAAAAATGCAGGAAGTTGAAGAAGAAATACATTTACTGCTACAGAGGGAGAGAACCTTCTTCAACGGGCTTGTTAACAGTGAAAATATGTATGCAGGCCTACCCATTTTGTTTTTATCTTTGGTGTTGAAAGCTATCTGTCTTTTTCACAAAAAACTGCCCTGTATGAGCAGCAGGTGAGGGAATGGGCTGTACCAGCATGTTGAAGTTATGAAAGAAAATGAGATATCGATCAATACAATGTGCGATTCTGGTTACACAGAGTGAAGTACTGCAAGGACTTTTTGTTTTTGTTCTTTCTTTGGTTTACCTCTTGTGTTTTTTCTGGATAGTGTGTTAGATTTCCCACTGTGGATGAACTGCTTCAGCGTTTACCTGCAAGCTAATCTAAACCCCTTTTTTATGGATAGAGCAGAGTCTGTTTTCTTTGTCTGTTCAAGAGTTGAGTAAAATGTTAAAAGTTACCCAAATAAAGCCCACCATCTGGCTGAAACAAACTCCCATCCATTAAAAGGGGATAATATAGTACTGGTGGGAAATCATGCTAATATATACATTTGTATGTACATGTGTGGAATGTGTGATGTTTAATTTATTATCACAAGATAATTACAGTTGAACTAAATTAGCTGATTTGAGCAATTTTCATGATTACTTACCTCTATAATTTATAATAGTCCCTTTGTGACCAATTAAATAATGTACTATGTTTAAGGAAATAGTAAACAATTTGCTTGAGGCTACATAATAGAGGTTAGAAGGAATAAAAATAATAATAAAAAAAGGGGGGGTAAAAGTTGGCAAATTGGTGAAACTGCGGAAAGCTAGACACATGTTCAAGTGCCATCTTGGGAGCCAAATTGCATGTTGAATTGCAATCTCGGGAGCCAAAACCTGTGCCAAAATGCACTCCCAGGGGCCACAACACATGTTAAATTGCACCCTTGCATGCCAAAACATGTGATAAAGTGCCCTCTTGGGAGCCAAAATGCATGTTTAAGTTGCCTCTCAGGGGGAAAAAATGCATAGTTAAGTGCCCCCTACTATACGTGACCCTTCAAAAAGTCTGTATATGCAAATGCATTGAAATACATAATGGAACTCAGAAGTTTTTCTTTTTAACAGGACCTACAAGATAATAAATTACCTCATTTAGTTGTTAATTTAAACACAATCAAATTTAGGACCCATGAACTTCTATAGTTATGAACTTTTCGTCTCCCTCTTCTGCATTTTTTTCTGAAAGGACTTTGATGATCCTTTCAAGTTTCCATGTGGCCCTTTAGTTGTATTTATTCTAGTAATTATATCTTATCAATCATTAATCAGAGGTGTTTGCATAATAATGTGTATTGTTGATTGTTGTGCAGTGTCTATGGGTGTCCTGAGAGGCACTGTAAATAAAATGTATTATTATTAAAACTAATCAAAGAAGTCAGCAGGTTGGGACTTCACAGATATCAACAGCAGAGGGAGCTGTCATTCTACAGGAGCAAAACTAGCTTATGTCACCAAAGATCTGCAGAAACCTCCAGATGTCTGATAAATGTCAAATTTACAGCAGAATGATTTTTATTAAAAGCAGGGGGTAAGAAGCAATAATTATTAAGGTACCTTAGCTCTCCTGTCATGCTTTTAATACTATTTTATATCTCTCTGGGATAGAGAAAGGTTTAAATACAGGTAAAGAATGCATGCTTTCCAAAAATATGTTTTGCAAGTAGAAATTCCTTCTCCTTTGCTGAAAAATGCCAAAGATTCTTCTTCTTCTTTAGCATTTTATCATTTGGCCTGTGGCTAAAATACCACAACTTCTCATTTCTAGACAAACAGCCATTTTATCCTCCTCAGGTGGCTTCAGAGTCAATCTATGAAAAAAGTTAAGGGGGTGAGAAGGAGGTGAAATCAAATCCCTTTAGCAAACAGCAAAAAGGTCAGCGCTGACGCAGGCCAGGGAACAGGCTGCCCTCCCTCCAGACTGTATTCTTAAGTGGCTATGGATTCTATTTGTAGCATTTTACCTGTTTACTGACTCCCCCACTCAAAAACCAGGTAGCTGCACAAACATGCTGGAGGGTTTGGACGACGTCTTGTGTCATCACTCTAGGGATAGATTTCGACTCATTCACTGCTTTGCCAGACCGTATAACACAATATCAAGAGCAGCAAGTTTCCTTTCCATGTGTGCATGGTTAATTTAGGCTGTAAATTCAAATAAATGTCAATTCTATTTAATTAAGGGATGCAACATTTAAGTACTTGCATGTTTATTTATAACAAATGTTGATCTCTTACTGGAGTAAGTAAGATTTATGTGGACTGCAAGAGTATCTATCAAGCAGTGCACAACTTCTATGACTATTAAATCTGATTTTATAGCTTTACTTTGAAAGGAAATCAATGCTTTAACCCCTTCAGACCCTACGTCCATTGGTATGGTGATTACGTTTTTCTGTCTCTAAACTAATAATTACTCTGCAATTGAATGATGTCAGCACTGCTGGTTACTAATTGGATCCTTATTATCAAATTACGATCATTTCATGACTTGGATCATGTTCAGTAAGAGTGAGAGACATCAGACAAGACAAACATGGCAGAGCACCTCAGGAAGGGGAAAAGTAAGTGCCCCTTTTCAATCAAAAATATAGATTTATGTTCATGCTGGCCAAACAAAGTTGCTCTCAGTGGAATCTTAACTGTTAACATTAATATTACTTGAAGTTATTTTTAATATATATTCAATAATCAATTTACCGATTTTCAAAGTCCTTGTAATTGACATCAGGAGTTGGGCGAGTTTAGCTAACACTCATATAGTCATTCATATAAACTGGGATGAAATTGTAAACCGTGATGCTAATATGGCAATGGTCAAATGGTATAACAGACCAGTTGTCATGTTTATGTCATACCTGATTAATTACTATATGGAAACGGCCTAATCTCTCTAAAGCTATAATGTCATGTAATGCCCATCTTGTGTCGTTCATTGGAATAGTAATGAAAAAAATACTAATAAAAACCCGGAGATAGAAAAACTAATTTTCAACGTTTTTTTATGTTGGAGAGGAGTCAGAATAAGTTTTTAAAAAATGTCTGAAGGGGTTAGAATATATGTCATCACATGACATTACCATTAACACTCAATGACAACTGTACTGGATACATCTGTTGGCTTTATTGTGAAGACAAATCGGTAAATAAAGCAATCACACAGTGGCACCCAGATATTTTTTTGCATTTGGACATGACTAAGGTGGTACGC